AAACGTTGAAAAAAAAAATTAAAAAAAAAAAAATGATGATAAAGGTGTCAAAGTGTCTCTGGCAATAGACAGGAATTCACTTTTCAGGGGCGCCTAGGTGGCTCAGTCAGATGAACGTCTGACTCTTGATTTTAGCTCAGGTCATGATCCCAAGGTCATGGGATCGAAGCCCACGTTGGGCCCATGCTGGGTGTGGAGCCTGCTTGGGGGTCTCACTCTCTCTCCTGCTCATTCTCTCTGTGAAATTAAAAAAAAAAAATTCACTTTTCAGAATGGCCTCTGTGTGAAAATGAAAACATGACGCACATTCCTGTGATGTCCCTTCAGAAATACTTCTGAGATAACGGTTTATTGGACTAGAGAACCCCACGAATCCCCTCCCATCCACAAAGCATCTGGTGAAAAACAGCCTCAAAAGATGGTCAACCATCTGATATTTCTACATCAGCTCCATGGAAAGAGAGTCTTTCAATTAGTGACAGGAATTACGTTTGTGTGACCGAGGACCGTGTCCCCCGTATGGAAGTGATTACAATGCTGTATATGTCCCTTAAAGCCAAACGATCCGCTCTTTTTAGTTGCTGGTATCAGAAAAAATAGCAAGACTGTCCAACAGATAATCCCCCAGTCGTGACAAGTAATAAATCTGCCAGCTGAAAGATCTTTAAGAAAACTTCCTCTGGAGGAAAGGATGGATGTGGGAGGTAAAACCACATGTGCAGAGTAGCTGATATCAAAATTGTAATATTGCTCCCAGCTCAAACTTCATATTTTATCCTTGTTAAAATATGAGACAGGACAATGCTGTGAAGCCATCTTTATCGAACCTGAATTTTCAATGCAGTGTGCTGTGCGAACGAGGCTGAAAGCGAACAGTGGGAAACCAGCACATTTCTGGGCAATTGTTATTTTTGAAAAAGAGTGGAAGTAATAAGACATCAAAACGGTCTTTTAAATTTTGTCTTCGGCATGAAGCTTCTACCCTGCAGTGGGGAAATATAAACCTCCAACTGACTTTGTTGATTAGTGGGAATTTATAAGCATATAATGTCATCCCTAGGAAAAGTGGGCACCTTTCTGCAGACGGCAAAATGGAAACTTGGTCAGCCAGATGGAGGCAGCTTCCTGAAACTTACCTCCGGGAAGGTCATATGGTGGGGGCAGGGGGTGCTGGTTCACAGATACAAAACCACCCTTCGATGAACCCCGACCTTTCTGTGATTCCATCTCGGCTGTTTGCTGACATGAATTTGGAGTTGGATAGGGAGAATGAAAAAGGGCACGGTACATTATTTGAACTTTCTGGATCTTCTTATGAATTGAATGATTACCACGAGGTCTTACTTTTGTTTCCACTTCTTAAATAATTCTTATTCTTTAAAAAAAAATGTTTATTTATTTATTTGAGAGAGAGCACACGGACAAGCAGAGGAGAGGCAGAGAGAGAGAGGGAGAGACAGAATCCCAAGCAGGCTCCAAGCTGCCAGCACAGAGCCCGACGTGGGGCTCGATCTCACGGACCGCGAGATCATGACCTGAGCGGAAGTAAGAGTCCAATGCTTAACCGAATGAGCCACCCAGGCACCCCAACAATTCTTATTTTTTAAATGTATTCAGAGTAAGTCTATAATTCCATCCACACCCATGTTCAAAACTCAAACTTCAAAGAAAAGAAAACTCAAATAATAATGTCTATCCTTCAAACCCAGTCCTCTTTACCACCTTCCCACCCTTCCTCTCTCTGAAACACACCCCAAACCTAAAGGTTCTCTTTAAGTCCTCTCTTCAAATTTTTATACCATTAACCTCCTCACGGGGGGTTGCCTGACAAGGCACCTGCCGTGACCTTGAAACGTTTCTTTTGGTCTGTGCAAAACTAAAATGACCCTCCATTCTTTGAGCACAGTGGAATCTCCGGGAGGAAGTAGTGTATCCAGGCTGCTACTCTGATTTTTCCAGATGCACCAGCAGATCTTCGTCCATGTGGTAGTTTGACGAAAATGTGGATGTCAGTAGTCCTTTGTTCTCAATACCGCTAACGGGGAACTAGAGCGGGTTCCCCGTGACAATAAAAATGTCCACAGTTTTCTGCAAAATTCGAGGAAACGGAAACTCTGTGAGTGAAACAAGAATCTCCAAAGTTTATAAATGTTACCAAGGGTGGCACCGGGCCCAGGTTCGTGCCGGCAAACACCCATTCTGAACCCCACACATACGCGGCTGGAGTGCGACATACTCCTCGCTGCAGGAGAACAGAAAGAAGGAGTTGCTTTTACTTATTTATTTTATTTTGTAATGTCCCTTGGCTCAGTAAGATCTACTGATACTGAGCCTCGATTTTCCCCAGGCACAAATATTCTAAATATTACGAACATTCTCTTATTTATTGAGGAAAAAATATCGCCAATTTATCTGAATTTGCCCATTATTTCTTTTTTTTTTTTAATTTTTTTTAACGTTTTATTTATTTTTGAGACAGAGAGAGACACAGCATGAACGGGGGAGGGGCAGAGAGAGAGGGAGACACAGAATCGGAAGCAGGCTCCAGGCTCTGAGCCATCAGCCCAGAGCCCGATGCGGGGCTCGAACTCGCGGACCGCGAGATCGTGACCTGAGCTGAAGTCGGACGCTTAACTGACTGAGCCACCCAGGCGCCCCATTGCCCATTATTTCTATACACAAGGTGAAGGGCAGTATTCAAACGAAATCCATGCAGATTGAGTCATGTACCCACCTTTCCCTGAACCTACACAGACCTGCACGCACACACTTCTAATACTTCTATTTTTCTCTTTTACGGGAAAAGAGGAGTAGGGTAAATTCTTGGCGACTGCACGCAGATGTCAGAGATCATTCCTGCAAAACGGCCGTAGAGCCACTTGCCCTGGGGAGAGAGGGAAAGGCATGTCTGCAGCAGACAGTCTTTGGGCTCTGTCTGTCCCCTGTCCCCTTCATTCTGTGTCTCTCAGGAGATGTCCCATGTGGGTCTGGAGGGTCCCTGAGTCGATGTGGGGCACCGCAAGCCTTGCTTTGGTGGGAGAGTTGGTGGTCCCGAGTCTTCTGTCCCCAGCTGAGCAATGACCCCCTTGGAAACCCCGGCCTGCTGAGAGCCTCCTGCCCGGAGGAAGAAACCAAGAAGCCTCTGACTTACCTGCCCCTAATGTGGTCCTCCTCCTGCTTGGGTGTAGCACCCGCCGAGATACAGGATTCCTCCTGGGGATGAGCAGGTACCCCAGAACTAACCTGAAGATGGGTCAGGGCCAGTGAGGTGGGGGTCAGAGAGAGACAAAGTCAGCAAGGCTTCACGTGACCTTAGCTTCTGCGAGGCTGAACCTAGAGCTGAATGGACTCGAGTTAGAATTAGAAATAATTTCCTGGCTGAAAGGTCAGAAGACATTAAAAGTGGCTATGGCGTGGCCATCTCTAGCGATTTGGAGGGCAAAATGAGCTTAGTCAAATCTTAGAAATAGTACAAATTGCAATTCAGCCCCAAATCCTGCAGATACGTTTAAAATCTCTTCCACCGTTTTATTCCTACTCACCCGGGAGCACATGACAACAAATCTGGGGCTGCCCAGGGCTCCGTTGCCAATTCTGGGGGCTAGGCGCTTTGATTTTCCGGGAAGCACTTACGTTCCTCTGTTTGAACCATTTATCATAAATTGTGCTCCAAGAAAGTTCTGAAAGAGAAGAAAGGCAGGAGATGAGGTTGGGGAGGGGCTCAGGGGCTGTATTATGAGGGCCAGGGTTAGGGCTTTGAACCTGAAGCAAAGGGAGTAAGGCAGGAGGTACAAGTCCAGGGGAGTTATTATTGGTTTGGACCAAGATGGCCGCCAGGAGATGCGAAGAGGCTGGATTTGAGATAGGGCAGCCATGCGCTGCTGGTGAATTGGGTGGGAAATGGTCCCGATGTTGGAAGCTGGTGCCTTGGATTTGAACAGTGAATGCACTAGAAGAGAAAGGGGGCCTCAACCTATTAGTCCCTACTATGCACGTAGCCCAGTATGAGGTACCTTATCTCCCCGAGTGGGAAGGCCAAGTGAAGGGGACTTGGAAGTCAGGCAGCCTGGGGCAAAATCCCAGCTGCCTCTCTTTCCAGCCGTGTGACTTTCAGCAAGTCAGATGGCCTCTCTTGGCCCAGTCTTCTCTTTTGTTCAAGGGCCTGGACACAGTACCTGCTGCAGGGGGGACTGCAGTGAGTTCTAACGAGGTCATGCATGTGAAGTACATGGCTGGAGCCAGGAACACTGCGGCTCCCATCTATACTGGTTATGGCTAGTGTTTACGCCCTTCAACAGCTCTGCAGGGTGGGGATGGGACCCCCACTGCATAGGTCGGGATGCTGGACAAGAGCTGAAGTCACAGGGACTGGGTTTAAGTGTTCCTCCACAGCCCCTTGAACAGATCTCAGGTTAATATGAAATTTAACCCGTGCTCACAAACTTGCTGATGTCAGGCCAGCATGTGCGTGAGCGTGGGTGGGCTGGTCCATCCCTTTCAAGAGAAAGGGACCCTGCTTCCGGGTCATGCCCCTCTCAGCCCTCCACCCTCTCTCTCTTTTCCTTCTGTCTCCCTGGAAAGCTGGAACCTAATTTCTGGAAAGCAAGTAGATCACCGCTTTGGTTCCTTCCTTACTTTATACTTTACATTCAAGTCAGCTCAAAGCCTCAAGTCTTTTCAGTGACTCAGCAGGTAAGTTTTGTTACCCTTTTCTATGGAAAACCCAGAGTAAAGAAGGCAAGAGCCGACCTTTCAGTGCATTTCTTAGAGGTTCCTTCTAAGCAGTGCCCCTCCAAAAATTGGAAGACTCACAGTTTTAAACCTATTTAGCAACACTTCAGGGAAGGCAATCATTGCTGTGCTTTAGAAAGAACAGCGTGGGGTGGGGCATTGTGGAAGAAGGCAGAGTAATGCAGGAGGAGAACCGGGGCAATGACCTGAGTGTGGACAAGCCTGCTAACAGGTCACTTGCCCTTTGTGGGCAGTGCGAGGCTCTGTTAGAACCACCCGCAGAAGAGATCCAGGCCGGTGGGGGTTCTGGTTTTCAAAGGCAACTGGGAAGCGAGATTAAAGTGCTTGCAAAACCTCTCACGGAAATGGTGGTTTTCCCACCGACACTGTAATCCAAAATCCCAGAATCATGGATTCACTTTTTGCATTAAAGTTTTGCCGTCACTTGGGAAGAAGGTTTGCCGTCACTTAGGAAGAAGGTTTGCTAAAGAGCCATGCATCAAGATCAAGTTGTTCATATAGAGGATAAAAGAGGGGCTACTTAATGGCTCATAATGGCATGTTGGCCACATAGAGTGGATCCATTCGGTGACCTACCATGAAAGCACCGAAGACGATGACAACGGACGTCTTTATTTGTTGACATGGAAAAACAGTCAGGATAGATTGTTAAAAAAAAAAAAAAAAAAAAAAAAGAATTATGGAAGCATGACCCCATTTTGTCTTAGAGACAGTTCTCGAATTAAGCAGATTTCACTGCACGCTTCCTGCAAATTCACTCTTGAATTCTAGATTTTCTTTTGCTTCTCAAACTTTCCAAGTTGTCAACCAAGAGATTGATTTCGCACTTTAAAATATTAAAGGGGACTTAAAATATTTAAAATGCAAGCCATCCATATGTCATTACTCATAAGTCACTTAGAAGACGCTTCATAAGAATTGTTTTACTAATAGACACTTAAAAGGGCATTGGATCCTGGATTGGCATATTCTGGTGGAAATAAAAATCTCAAGTGTCAAGAATAAAGATCGCTGAGAGGAGACTGAGAGACCCAACAGTGGGCAAGACGTCTTCCATCACGCTACTTGGGCAGGAAAATCTTGGCCCGTAATTCTGAGTCGAGCTAATCGTAACAGGTAGACAAAAAGCCACTTCTCAAATCGCTACAATGAGCTACTCCATGTAAGCACAGGGTACTTCAATCCACAATTAATACAACTCTATAAACTTGTCTCCACAGTCTGTATTGCTCTCTAAATGGCAAAGCTGTTTGTCTTATGCTCTAGAAAATCTGATTTGGTGTGTTAATGCTGGGCCACACATTGATAATTCGACTTGTTTTCTCCAGGACCACTTTTCTTCCTGGAACTCTGTTAACATGACAACCTTTGTTAAAGGCAGTGCTCTCCTGAGCCATTATTGGAAATAGTAGTAGGAGACCGATTAAATAATTCCGACGGGATACTAAACTACCACACATACGGATAAGAAAATACATAGATCCTGTGTGCTCGCGTGGGAAGTTAATCATAGAGCAATACGTGGGTGTGGAAACAGGAATTTTTTTGAGCACTGGTCGTAACAAATCTTGCTCATACTTTTTCTGTGATCGCACGGCTCTACAAATGGATTCCTTCTAGCCCGACTTCCGTTGAGGCGTCCGCAGCTACTTTTCTCATCTCAGTCTCTGGCTGCTTTGAACTCCTAATATATTCTTTAAAGCTCCGTAGCTTCCCTTGGATGTGCTTCCTTCTCCCCTACTTCTGCATTTTGAATTCTGAATAAAAAGAAAAACAAATGAACACAACCACAAAATAGCTCTGTAGGTAAGTTTGACTAGTCCCTGGTGAATTCACATTCAGGGATATGCCTGGCCTCTGGTATTTATCCCGCTCAACGACTCCTAAGTTGTTTGGTTGTTTTTTTAATTTTTTTTAATGTTTATTCTTTTTTTTTTATTAATTTTTTTTTCAACGCTTATTTATTTTTGGGACAGAGAGAGACACAGCATGAACGGGGGAGGGGCAGAGAGAGAGGGAGACACAGAATCGGAAACAGGCTCCAGGCTCTGAGCCATCAGCCCAGAGCCTGACGCGGGGCTCGAACTCACGGACCGCGAGATCGTGACCTGGCTGAAGTCGGACGCTTAACCGACCAAGCCACCCAGGCGCCCCGTTGTTTATTCATTTTTGAGAGAGAGCACGCAGGGGTGGGGAGGGGCAGAGAGAGAGGGAGACACAGAAGCTGAAGCAGGCTCCAGGCTCCGAGCTGTCAGCACAGAGCCCGATGCGGGGCTCAAACTCATGTTTTTGAAGTTCGGACTCCTATTTTCCAATTTTGATAAAAGGTTCAAGAAGATCAAAAAAAAAAAAAAAAAGCCAAAGCAACATAAACATAAATAAAACCACACTAAAGCACATCAGAATCCAAGTGCTGAAAACCAATAATAAAAATAAAGTGTCAGTGCTTGCTTCGGCAGCACATATACTAAAATCGGAATGATACAGAAAAGACTAGCATAGACCCCGCACAAGATGGTGTGCAAATTCATGCCACATTTTTAAGTGTTGAATCACTAAGTTCTACACCTGAAACGAATATTACACTGAATGTTAACTAACTGGAATTTAAATAAAAACTTGGGTGGCACCTGGGTGGCTCAGTCAGTTGAGTGTCCGACTTCAGCTCAGGTCATGATCTCACAGTTGGTGAGGTCGAGCCCCGCGTCCGGCTCTGTGCTGACAGTTCGGAGCCTGGAGCCGGCTTTGGATTCTGCGTCTCCCTCTCTCTCTGCTCCTCCCCTGCTTGCACTCTGTCTCTCACTGTCTCTCAAAAATAAATAAACATTAAAAAAATTAAAAAAAAATTTAACAACTTGGGGGGAACCTACTATAAATAAACAAATAAATAATAAACAAATGTTAAAAGCAACCATATGGAAAAAACGCATTGCCCACATTTGAGATAAAATAAATATTACTGCTTACTTGTCATCAAGAAATAAGTCAGAAGACAATAGAATGTTTCTTTCCATTGTAAGAAAAAAACTCAATCCAGAAATCTAGCAAGAATTTCCTTCATATCCTTCAAAATTGAAGTCACCAGACCAAAACGTAACAGATGCATTTCTTTCTACTTCTCCTGCTAAATTATGATTTAAAAAATAACCCTTAATATTATAAATAAAACATATGTAAGAATATAAAAGGTAGAGAGAAGAAAACAGACCAGCTAGAGATCTGAGGACCTAAGGAATTGACATGTGGTGAGTTCTTGTGTTTTCTTTTTGCCTTTCACATCCCAGACTGGGTGTTGAAGAAATAGGCACCATGGCAATGATAAACAAGAAAAGACAAATGGAGTCCCAAGAAAAGCCTATTTTCTCAAAGGATCAGGAAAGGGAGAAATGATCAACAAAGAGACACAACCTTTTAGACAAAACCTCCTTACTCTAAGAGCTCCTGGGTGGCTCAGTAAGTGAAGCGTCCAATTCTTGATTTCAGTTCAGGTCATGATCTCACAGTTTCGTGAGTTCGAGTCCCATGGTGGGGTCTGCACTGACAGACGGCATGGAGCCTGCTTGGGATTCTCTCTCTCTCTCTCTCTCTCTCTCTCTCTCTCTCTCTCTGCCTCTCCCCCACTCTCACTCCGTCTCTCTCAAAATAAATAAATAAACTTAAAAAAAGCAAAACCCTCCTTACTCTATTCTCCTACCCACACTGGGGTCGACTGAAAGCAGACTGAATGGGGAGTTGGTGATTTCATTCCTGCCCAATCATGATAGAATGATACAGTAATGAGACACCCTCATACATGGTATCAGCAGAGCTCATATGGGGACCCTGGACTCTCATTAGTAGTAATAAAGTGCTCCTCTCTCACCATCCCTGCCTAGTGTAGTGTCAGAGAAGACCAAATGAGAAGCCAGACCTTTTACCACCATCCAGAACAATCACTGAACAACCAAATTTACCTAATTGATATTTAAGAGACATTATATCCAGTGACTGTAGAAAACACATTCTTTTTTTTTTTAATTTTTTTTTTAACGTTTATTTATTTTTAAGACAGAGAGAGACAGAGCATGAGCAGGGGAGGGGTAGAGAGAGAGGGAGACACAGGATCTGAAACGGGCTCCAGGCTCTGAGCTGTCAGCACAGAGCCCAATGCGGGGCTCGAACTCACGGACCATGAGATCATGACCTGAGCCGAAGTCGGACGCTTAACCGACTGAGCCACCCAGGCGCCCCAAAAGCACAGTCTTTTTAAAGTACACACAGAACATACACCAAGATGGATGGATCACATCTTGGGTCATAAAACCAGTCTGTCCAAGCCTAAAGGGATTGAAATTAGTCAGAGTATATTTTTCAACCACAAGGAAATTAAATAAGAAATTGTTAAAAATAAATAAATAAACTCAGAACATCCTCAGGTATTTGGAAATTATACACACACTTTTTTAAATGAAAAACAACACACTTTTTAAATGTTTATTTATTTTTGAACTAGAGAGAGTGTATGGGGAAGGGACAGAGAGAGAGAGAGACAGAAGATCTGAAGCAGGCTCTGCACTGACAGCAGAGAGACCCGTGTGGGCCTCAAACTCAAGAACCACAAGATCGTGACCTGAGCCGAAGTCAGACGCTTAACTGACTGAGCCACCCAGGCACCCCAAGCAACATACTTCTAAATAACTACTGTCGGGGCACGTGGGTGGCTCAGTCAGTTAAGCATCCGACTTCAGCTCAGGTCACGATCTCGCGGTCCGTGAGTTCGAGCCCCGCGTCGGGCTCTGGGCTGATGGCTCAGAGCCTGGAGCCTGCTTCCGATTCTGTGTGTCTCCCTCTCTCTCTGCCCTTCCCCCATTCATGCTCTGTCTCTCTCTGTCCCAAAAATAAATAAACGTTAAAAAAAAAAATTAAAAAAAAAAAAAACTACTGTCAAAGAAAACATTATTAGGGAACTAGAAACTATTTTGAACTTCATAAAATATCACATCTAAATTTGCTAGAGGGAAATTTATAGCTCTAAGTGCTGGTATTAGAAAAGAAGGAAGGTTTAAAATTGAAGGTCTAAATCCATCTTTAGAGGCAAGAGGAGCAAGTTCAAAAAAAAAGGAAATTTTAAAAAGAAAAAATCGATGAGATAAAAAACACAAAACCAACAGAGAGAAAATAACAAAGCCATAGTTTGTTCTCTGTAATTATTAACGACATTATTGATAACCTCCTAGCTAGAATGGACAAGAAAAAAAAGAGAAAGAAAACAAAATTACAAATATCAGGATGAAAGACAGGACATTACTACAGATATCACAGACATTATAATCACTCTGTGATGACAAATTTAATAACTTATACAAGATAGATTTCTCAGAAAATACAACACAACAAATCTGATTTAAGAAAAAACAGAAAATCTGATTAGCCCTATACTTCTTTAAACAACTAAATTGACAATTTAAAAAAATCTTCCATCAAGAAGATTTTAGGGCCCGATGGCCTCACTAATGAATTCTACTGATCATTTAAGGGAGAGAATAATACCAAGCAATTTTTCAAATCATTACCAAATCAATCTGTATATCAAACTATTTTTAGTCAAATCCCAGCAGGCTATCTCACAGAAAGTGACAAGTTACTTGTAAAATTTACATGTACATGAAAAGGCCAAAGAAAGAACAAAGTTGAAGTACTTACATGACCTATTTTCAAGGCATATAAATATATGGTAATGAAGTAGATGTCTTATTGGCATAAAACTGAACAAATGAAATAACAGAAGAAAACTTGAAATAGACACGCATGTACAGTCGACTGATTTTAGGTCAACCTACCAAAACAATTCAATGGGGAAAGGATTTTTTTAACACATAATTGAGAAACAACAGATCATCTCTCTGGGAGAAAGAAAACAAAAAACAAAAAATTCAACTCATGCCTCACTCCCTGTAAGAGTTAATTTAAAATGGATGATAGAGGGGCGCCTGGGTGGCTCAGTCGGTTGAGCGTCCGACTTCGGCTCAGGTCATGATCTCACGGTCCGTGGGTTCGAGCCCCGCGTCGGGCTCTGTGCTGACAGCTCAGAGCCTGGAGCCTGTTTCGGATTCTGTGTCTCCCTCTTTCTCTGACCCTCCCCTGTTCATGCTCTCTCTGTCTCAAAAATAAATAAATGTTTAAAAAAACTAAAAAATAAATGGATCATAGGCTTAAAGGTAAAAGGTAAAACTATAAAGCTTTAAAAAATTACAAATTAGAGGGTCGCCTGGATGGCTCAGTCGGTTGAATGTCTGACTCTTGATTTCCGCTCAGGTCGTGATCCCAGGGTCGTGGGATCGAGCCCCATGTCAGGCTCCACACTCAGCTCAGAGTAGATTCTCTTGGCCTAGGATTCTCTCTCTTCTCTCTCTGCCCCTCCCCCACTTGCCCACATGCTCTCTCTCTCAAAAAAATGTACATATTAGAATATCTTCACAACATGAAGGTAAGCAAAGATTTCTTAGAACTCAGAAAGAAGAAACTCGTAACAATGGAGTTTATCAAATAAAATATTTTTACTCATGAAAAAACAATACTGAGGTAGGCAAGCCGCAGAAAAGCAGATAATGTTCCCATTTATCTGACACAGGACTTATATCCAAAGTATATTTACAATTCCTGTAACTCAATAATAAAAAGTCAAATACCCAATTTTCAAAAATTGTCAGAAGTCTTAAAAGGGCACTTCACAGAGATATACAAAAGGCTCCTATGCACTGGTGAAACATCATCTTTC